CCGCTGTTGTTGCTGCATTGACTGATGCTGATGGTGGGGTGGGGTGAGCGTTGGTGGGAGGTCCGCCGGGGATTGTCTGTGGGAGGGGGGGAGGGAGAGGTTTGGTTGTTTGGTTGTTTGTTTGTTTGTTTGTTTGTTTGAGCAAAGAGAAGCACATCGACACAATAACGGTCATTTAGTGCTGGGAAAAAGTAAGACAGACAGACAGAAACAACAGAGTGGAAAGTAAAGAAGTAGGACCTACCAGTGACACCCTCCAACCACCCACACAGAAGTAGGAACATGTTTTTCCTGTTTCTCTTCTTTTCCATCCTATCATACACACAACACACCACATGACACACAACACACGACACACAACACACGACACACAACACACCACATGACACGCAACACACGACACACGACACACAACACACCACACGACACACAACACACGACACACAACACACCACATGACACACAACACACGACATACGACACACCACACGACACACAACACACGACACACAACACACCACACGACACACGACACACCACACGACACACAACACACAACACACCACACGACACACAACACACGGCACACAGCACACGACACACAACACACGACACACACCACACGACACACAACACATGGCACACAGCACACGACACACAACACACGACACACAACACACGACACACAACACACAACACAACACACGACACACAACACACGGCACACAGCACACGACACACAACACACGACACACACCACACGACACACAACACATGGCACACAGCACACGACACACAACACACGACACACAACACACGACACACAACACACAACACAACACACGACACACAACACACGGCACACAGCACACGACACACAACACACGCCACACAACACACGACACACAACACACCACACGACACACAACACACCACACAACACACCACACGACACACAACACACAACACACCACACGACACACAACACACCACACAACACACGACACACAACACACGGCACACAACACACGACACACAACACACCACACGACACATAATACACGGCACACAGCACACGACACACAACACACGACACACACCACACGACACACACAACACGACACACACCATACGACACACGACACATAACACACACCACACGACACACGACACACGGCACACGACACACGACACACAGCAAACGACACACAACACACGACACACCACACGACACACAACACACCACACGACACACAACACACCACACACCACACGACACACAACACACGACACACAACACACCACACGACACATAACACACGGCACATAACACACGACACACAACACACGACACACAACACACCACACGACACATAACACACGGCACACAACGCACGACACACAACACACGACACACAACACACGACACACAACACACCGCACGACACACAACACACGACACATAACACACGGCACACAACACACGACACATAACACACGGCACACAACACACGACACACAGCACACAACACACAACACGACACATAACACACAGCACACGACACACAACACACGGCACACACCACACGACACACGACACACACAACACGACACACGACACACACCACACGACACACGACACACGACACACACCACACGACACACATCACACGACACACGACACACACCACACGACACACGACACACAACACACAGCACACGACACACGTACTCTGTATAAGCACCAGCTGTAGCCCCGGAGACTGGAGGAGAGTAGCTCGGCGCAGTTGCTCTGTTGTGATGGGTTCCTGAGAGGAGGGTGGGGGAGAGGGAGGTGAGTGAGGGGAGGGGAGGGGGTGAGGG